CGAATGATTGCTGTAGCGTTCATATTAAATGAAGGATCTTTATAAGTTGATTTAATATAAGTGTACTTCATTTAACTTACAAAAAGTACAGTAATATAGTAATATTTTCAGTTCAAGATTTTATTTCAAAAAAGAAACAACTAAACGATAATAACAAATATCATTCACTGTCAAAGTTGTGTGTATCATATGAGTACAAATTGTGTGTAACATACTCGAGATTTAAAGATTCGTGATTTAATGCCATTATTCTCTCATCACAGAAAAGCTATTTGTATGCTTTTCTTTAAAATAAACATGTATGTTTTGAAGACGGTTTAAGAGAGTTATTATTAAAATACATTTTGCTATAAAATTACTTAATCCTTTCACTCCGAGTTAAGTAATATTTTTTTTTTGTGATGCTATGAACTTTTCGTAAACATTGAAGATTAACCAGTCGGTGATGGTGCTATTAAATTCAATGTAATACATTTAGTTTAACTGTTGAGTAATGCATAAGTATTTATAGGTTTATTTATATGTGTGTGTGTGTGTGCATCTCCGGTTTTCTTGCTGGTTGTAGCGATGGAGTGGATGGAGTTATTCCTTCTTGCGCGTTTATTTTTTCTCCCCGCAGGAGGCCGAGGTCAAGTTTATTGCTTCCACATAATATAAAATATGCGACCGGAATATCGGGTTCTATTTTGAATGCGTGGTGGAATCGCAACCCGTTCGGTTTCGTCGGATATGCAGATGTACTACGTGGATGATGGCATTATGCTTCCAAGTTATAAATAAATTTCGGGGCGTCGGGGTTCAGGCCTCTCCTCCTCCTCCTCTCCACGCTCTATATTTAGTCGTCGACAGGGAGACCCCTCTTTTGTGTCCACATTTAGGATTCTAAAACTGTTGGAAGTGCTTGTAACCAAAAGATGCTGATAGCATGATTTTGGGGAAAAAAAAAGGAAGTAGTCCTGAGGCCGATACGCATGGGAGAACCATCAAACAAAGAGACAAAGCTAATATGAATTTAGTTGCTGCTCTTAAAGTCGATGGTTGTTGGTAGAGTTGCATTCGAATGAAAGTGATTGGCGGAAAAAGGTTAAGCTTCCTGATTTGGTTCGCTCGCCGCAATTATCAATTTTTCAAATTTATTCTTTTCAGTCTTTTATTTTTAACGTTTCTCGCATTTTCAAGTATCCTTGCCTCTCCTTCAGTCGTTACTGCTTCGTGTCTTCTCTTCTCTTTTTTTTTTCATCATCTCTGTCTCTCGAAGCGTTGCGGTTGACACGTAGTCATTAGCCAGTTCTGCTTCCTATACACATGCCAAACATACATCAACACGACGCGACTTTTCTTTAATTTTCCTCCTTCCTCCGGCCGCAACAATGTTTTAGGTGAAAGTCTTTTAAATTGTTCTCTCTTTGACTCCAGTTGACCCCCCCATCCCAGCGAACAACACACAGCATAAGTATTAATTAATAACAACATCATCAACGACATCGTCTTGTGATTTATTATTCGATTCACTGCGAACTCTCTGAACTCACTTTTACTACGATATCAATGTTTTTATTTTCTCAATCGTCCTTTTCAATTTTATTTAATTTTTTTCAATCGATTTCTCTACAGATACAAAAGTAGTCCAATCCATAAATTTCCGATGGATGGACTCGAAATTGAATATTAACACAATCTCGGGATTCTTCATTTATTTTTTTATTGAATCTCGCGTTCGTCCTTTCAACGGAACTCGCGCATTATTTCGTGATTGATCGACGTTCTTGCACTTGGCTTTTATTAATAGTCTTGTCGCTCATTCCAAAGACACCAGATCCGACTACATTAATTTGCCGTGCTTTCAATCACTTATTACCTCCACTATACTTGTTTTATATATGCAATCGCCTTTCATTGGTTTCACGGAAATATTATTTCCATTTTCAGCAGATAAAAGCCATTTCTCGAAAACTTTGCACAAAGAAATAATTTAAAAAAATAAAAACAAGGAGCATCATTAGCGTTATTATTTCCCAATAATGGAAATCAATTGGATTAATTCAATTGCTAAGTGCATTTACTCAATGCTGCTGCAATTAAACTCAACGTCATTTTTAATTAATCATCAATGTCTTCTTCTTCTTCTCTTCGATAAACTTAATTTGTTTCCATTATTTCATTGCAAAACTCAACCAATCTACTTTAATTTATTAATTACTATTTATGTGATTAATATTGATTTTATAATTGGAAAAGTTAATTAACTGTTCTGATATAAATCTTATGTTGTTAAATTATTTAGTTAATTTGCTCATTTCGAGTTCGAATTTTAATTAAATTTGTATTTTATGCATAAAATATTGCATTTTGTATATAATAAATTTCAGTTTAAAAGCATGGAAAATGTAATTTACGATTCCTGTGAACATTAACATCGGTATTACTGCCAATGTCAAGGTTGTTTAATAACGGACACAGCTTGATAAATCACAGCCACTCTTAGATCGCTTGTTCGTGTCTCTTTATCGCACAATACTTGCTTTTATATACTTACCATCAATGATTTCCGCATGAAATTTGCAAAATCTAATTGGATATTATAGTTCTGTTAATAATCTCGAAACCTAGGTGAGTCCTTTTAGAGGTTTCTAATCCTTTAGACGCACGCTTTAATTGTGCTATAATTCCGACAAGACATTATTAATTGCATAAAAGTGAAACGAAAAAATCGATGCAGATCGTAAATCTAATTGTCTCCGAACTGCGTGTGTCTGTATCTATCATACACTTGGGACAGTAGAAAGTTCTTGGATTTGCTACTGTTGGGGGGTTTAAAAACAAAAATAGTAACAGAAGCGTAGAAAACGGGGGCAGACTTCGGTTCAATCTAATGGTTAATAATAACAATAATAATTGAGAGATCCGATCTCATTTTCACCGAGGCACGATTGTCATAGTTAATTAACAATAACGGGCATCATCCGCGGCTACCAGATTTCCTTCCGTTACCACCTCTTCACGTGAATCCTCCTTCCTCGCTCTTCAAACACAATCATCGTCGTCCACCCTTCTAGATTAATTAAACGATAGCAGTCGCACCCTGTGCGTGATATTCGCAATTCCCATTTTCTTAATTAAAACCCAATCCCCTCAACATTTAATGTTGTTGTTTTGGCCTATTTCGTTCTTGCTGTTGTTGTTGTTGTTATTTCTATTCAGGCGACATTAAGAATATTAAATTTAATACTTCTAATATACGCGTCGTGTGTCTCCTGTGTCGAAGGTGTAACTGGATCGGCGTCCCTGGATCTCGCGTTTCATGGAAAATGGGCAGAACACGAGCGCAACGTGCAAAAAAAATAAATAAATATAAATAAATCCATCGAAGAAGTGGAGGTGTCCCATTCGGATATCGACGTGCATGCGGTCGCATCGCATGAAAGATCCGAGTGTGTTTCTTTCTAATTGGAAACAACACTCACTCTGTGTGTGTGTGATTCAGTTTCGTAACAGTTCGGTTTGCTTCATCACATGCGAAACGTAAACAAAATTATTGGCTTCTGTTTATTTTCCAAGTAAAGAAAGAAAGAAAGAAAGAAAGACCTCTTTTCAGATTCGACTAGCTCAGCAAATGACTTAAGTCAATTCTTTCGTAGACTAAACGCAAAGCATCCAATTGTATTAATGCAGACACAAATCTATTTTGTTTCGAGACAATTTCGCATGTCATTTTTTTTTATACTGTTATGCAAAATTTTGAACAATTTCTGTACACTTTTCAACCTTGGTTATGTAAGTTAGCTCACTGCTACCGTAATTAGTGTTGGTTAACAAGTCCACTTGAAATGTTTTCAAATCGGCCGTAATTATACGAACATGTAAACATCTATGTCACTCCAAGTTAAACTCAATTAAAAAGCATGTCAACGTGTCTTCAAACGGCCTGTATATTCATATATTTGCAGCACTAATCAACACTAAGGTCTGATTAAAAAAAAATGGTTATAAATTAAAGCAAGTGTGCGTCATAGACCATAATCCGGATATCTTAAATTTCGTTCTCAGAAATTCATTGGGTATTAATGAAATTTTAATTATCTTTTTTTTTTTGATTCTGAGTTGTGCGTGGGTTTTCGTTCCTCTTCATTTATTTCTGGAGGAGAGATCAACGTTCGCTCGCTCCATTCTGGATGCTGCATCTGGCAATGGGACGATATTATGGGAGAGAGAGATTACATTAAAGATTGTTTTCGTGGCATATCTTTCTTTTTCCTTCGAAGTAAACATTTCATGTGACCGAGTCTCTCTGCTCTGCTCGTCTAGTGTTGTTACACTTTTACCGTGCATGAAAAGAGGTTCGTTCGCTAATTTGCTTGCGCTCCGACATTCTTGGACAATTTTCCACTTTCCAACGTCCAATTGACATACACTATTCTATTTTTGTTTGTTTTTTGCCTACTTGTTTTTACATACTCTCTAATAGAACATAATGGTCTCGACCTATTTTTTTTATGTATATATTACTGCAATTTCAATCCTCTTGAAAAACAAGAAAACAGTGCAGTTTTCACTTCTTTTTTCATTGAGCCCTAAGGCTAGAAAACCAAAGATTCAATAAGAGAATCATAAATGAGAATGAGATATTAGAATCAATTAATTTACATAAATATAATGATAAAGGATAAACATAAACATCTTTTGCACAGTTATTGTCGTCTGTGTTTGCGTTGTCCGGCTTCTCTTCTTCCAAATGTTGTTGATGATGATGATGTAATACCGTTTGAATTGCGGGTGTTTCGGCTTTCTAAAGGTGTGGGCGTTCTTGTATCTCGTTTGGGTGTCTTGACACGAGCATGTGGGTTCACTTGGACACCTCCGACGGAAAATCCAATCGGCGAAATTATGATGCTTATTATTGTTTGTTGCCGGCGGCTGCGATGTCCTTTTTCCGAGAGTTCAAAAGGTCTAACGACCTCCGTTGCGATTGTTACTAATTTTTTGTTTTGTTTGTGTTGCAGGGTGAGGCTGGTTCCGGTGGCATGGACTGCCTCCAGTTGCGGCAACAGCAGCCCGGTCCGTTCCACTACCTCATCAACGAGCAGGCAAAGTCCCTGGTGGCGCTACAGGAGCTGCAGCATGAAGTGGGAGCCCTGCTCGAGTTCAGAGATCTCGTCATCGAGACCTTCCCGAATCTGCGCACGAAGATGGCGGCCAGCTCGACGCCGGCCACGATGACCTCCAACATACCGGTGGCCGTGAGACGAGCAGAATGGGAACCCGGAGTGAAGGTCCGAAGAAAGCTGAACACGAGCAAGGAGGAGCGCGTGAAGAAGACGGAATCGGCAATCCAGGACTCTGGTTTTAGCACGGAAACTAGCAGCAAGGAGACGCACAGCGCTGTGACGACGACCTCGACGACGGCGACGGCAGGCAACGAGGCTGAGGACGAACTCTGGAATCTGCTGGACATCATCCATAGGAAGGGCACGCGGTTGAAGGATGAGGTGGAGGCGCTTCAAGGCGCACTCCGCGATCAAGGCAACAGCAGTCCCACAAAGGAATCCGACTTCCAGAGGGTTCTCTTCCACGCCTCCGTCGACGATGTGCGGCAGCTCAAAAGGGAGCGCGATCACCTGCTGGAGCGCGTTGCAGAGATGGAGGCCGAAGTGCTAGCAGGTCGCGTTCACACCTCCCGTCTCCAGGAGGACCTGGAGAACCTCCTCGGTGCCAAACACGACCTGGAAGAGCAGCTCAAGGCGGTCGTTAGTCAAAGGGGTGAAGTGAACTCGCGCATTCAGGACTTGCACTCGCAGTTCGTGACTAGTAGTAGTAGTAGTACATGTGCGGACGTTGCGGAGGCCGCTCCGACGACGTCCAAGTCCATCCCAAGCAAAATCGACGACGCTCTCGGCACCGACATTCCCAAGGTCAGGCTGCCCGACTCCAAGAAGATTGCGGCCATCCTCAAAGAGTACGATCCCATCGTACTCCAAAAACACCTCCTCACCTCCACCGTTCAAAACCACGTAAGCTTATCAATTAACTCATCATAGCTATTAGGACAAATTCATTAAGCAAACAACTAAGTCGGTTACACATTAAAGAGATCATATTTGTAAATTTATAAAAATAAGTATGTTTAATCTTAAACATTTTAATACCAACGCTCACTTTACGCAAGAAAAATGATATTCGCTAAGTTATGAATCATCCACTTCTTGCGTGTTACACAACACAATTTCTCTCTCTCCTTCTCGCTCACTCTCACTTCGCTTCCCTTCGCGTTCTAAATTTAATTTAAATTAACTCATTCCGGAGCGCTAATTAAATTTGCGAGTCTCGCTCGACATTGCTTTTACTTCGGAGCGAAGGTGACTCCGACGAATTCGCAACCGTTTTGCTCTCCTGCAATATAACGATAATTCCATTGTTTTGCGTAGTCATTCCTAGATTCCTATTCGATACTAGTCTGAATCATTGTTACAGCAACTGGTTAATTGCAATATCATTACAATCGATCTAATTCGTTTCATTCAAGTTTTAAAAAAATAACATTGTGCATAGATTGATTTCTACCATCATCTCGATGTTAAATTACTCTTAGTATCCATATCAACATACATATTTAGATAAGTAAATGCGTGTATGTGCAATATTATACTAAACAACCGTTGCATCTTTACCGGATCCATGTGGAAGTTTTCATTATACATGTGCGTGCGTCATGCTACAACCTATGTGAATGCGCTTATTACAAGCATTTCGCACTACTGTTACCGCTGCATTCAATCTCCATGCCAATTATTTCGGGATTTTGCTACATATAGATTTAAAATATCGAGAGGGTATTATTTGCGGGAACAAATTGTCTCTTAACAATATAGATGTTAGAATGTACTTATTTACTTCGATGATAGTGAGATATGAAAAAAAAAATTATATAAATACATAAAAAAATGAAAGTTGCACGGTGTAAACAATGGTAATTATATTGTCTTTTCGTTGTTCTTTGCTGTAGAAATTTGAAACTTTCTAAGTGCGCTTTTTTATATGTTGCTTTGGATTTAACGTTTGTTTGGTTTACAAACGCGATTGCGTAATTCGGTCGAAATGTTTAGTGAAAATTATGTGTATGAATGTCTGCTTGTAGGTGTTGCAACTGCAATTGGACACGGCGGCCCGTCTCGAATTGGGCCTGGTGGACAAATTGGATAAGGCGCGAGAGGAGAACGACGAGCTCAGATTTCAGGCAAGTATTTTATGGTTTTTGAGTTCGATTTGTATGTTAATGGTAATATGGGTTTGCAGTTGGAGGATAGGAATATTGAATTGGAAGGTACGAAAGCGCGCGTGAGGATGCTGGAGAACCTGCAGAAGCCGCCGAGCGGGAGGTCGCCTGATATAATACCGACGATGGAGGCAGCTCTTCCGTCTCTGACGATATCCAGATCAGAGATTACTACGGCCAGCATGAAGGCGATGAGTCCGTTTCCTATAAACCTGCAGCTCGATCATAGCTCGAGCACGGAGTCCGCTCACGATCAGGCGGAGAGCGCGCGGAAGAGCGGTTCGGAGACGCCGAGGAGGAAGCCATCGAGAATCCCTCTGGTGAAGAGCTACGCTGCACCGAAACCACCGGGAAGCGCGGGAAAGCACAGTCCTGGTGGCAGAAGCCGTAGTGGCGAGTCACCAGGACGACCGCAGAGCGCGCAATCCTGGCGCAACAACAGGAGCGAAGGGAACAGTTTGAGCAAAAGCAGCTGTTCTTTGAACAAATCGAGGAATGCCTCTCTAACTGCAGCAAAGGACTCGCTCACGGGGAAGTCGCGTACCAATCTCGAGCTGAAAGATTCCTTGGTCAGCAGCTACGGCAGAATACCCTGCAACACTTCCAATACAGCCATCGCCGCCACAGCTCTGTCGACGTTGCGCAAATCCTCAACACCGAACGTCCGAAGGAACAACAGCGTGCGGGACTCAACCGATAAGGTACGGTCCAAACTATTTTCGTGGAACTGGTGGAAAATGGATCGGCCTGCATAAATATGGAGTCGCCTTGTGCGTTTATTTTCCAAACATATTAATACCCCGCTCTGACAGTGTACAGTAAGTCTATCATTTTATTTTTTATTTTGCTTCTTATCCATCCACATCTCTCATCCAATACAACAACAACAACAACAAACCATTCACTAAAAGCTTTCAGTAGATACGTAGTTTATCCACCCATCCACCTCAGTGTAGTTATAGTAAGTAGCTTAATTAACAGACAGATTAAATACCAAAGTTTGCTTCCGAAACTCTATATTTTCGAAAATACAGTCTACATTCGTGATATAATGTAGACTTAAATCATAATATTCAATCGTGGAAATAAACAGTGCATCATAAAATAATGAAATTTGAATAAATGAAAACAGAGATCAATGGGGGGCGAATGCATCTATTGATCCGCCCCTAGATTTCACCCACATGTTGCTGCATTTCTTTGGTTTCACGAAAGCCGTCGCGTTTTCTCTTTCAACGCGCGAAACAAAAAGGAAATACCGCTCTCGACGAATAGAAATCATCCCAAATCGTGTACACTTGGGTACGTATGTATGTACGGTCTATCTCTCCATAGCTCGACCTGCTCTGATTCCGCGCTCATTTCTAAATCATATCGTCGCTTGCGAAGCGCGCAATTTCGCAACGGAAAATGGATTTGCACACACCGACCAAACAAAATAAATAAGTAATTTTCTTCTTCGTAATTTCATCGTTTACTGCTGTTTGTTTCATCGTATATACGATGATAGTAGCACGTGCAATTTCGCTGCAAGTGCGTTTCGGGTGCGATCATCAATTGAATGGCAATTGGCGATGGGCTTGCGTCCGGTTCGACAATGCACCGGAAACGGAAACGGATTCATTGAACCACGGGTCCGCGCCGCACCGTCGTAATTAGATAGTCCACTTCACATTTTCAACGAAACAAAAACAAAAAAAACATATTCAAACCAATTCACAAACAGAAATAGAACGAGTATTGCAAACGTGAATGCGATTGCCGGATTTGATATTGACTCCTCATATCGCATGAAGAAGGTAGGTCTTTGTGTTGCGCACCCTTTTATCTCTATCTGTATCTGCTGTTTGCATGCTTGTATATCAACCAAACACGCACTAACACAATTTAACAAACTTTTTATTTTTGTGTTTCTCTTTTATATGCATATCAAGGATTTTTTTCTGCTACGTTTTTAAGATCTATTAAAACAAAAATACAAAACTCGATTTTTCTTAAATATTTAGTTTCAGACTTATATCAATAAATTTTCAAAAATGAATTATTTAATTCACTGAAAAACAAGCAATTTTCTGTAGTTCTCATGTTCAAATTACATGATTCGTTTTAAATACAGAATGTTTTAAAAGATCTTTGAAAACAAAGCAGATGCAATCTGCGTATGTGTATGTATTCATTGTTTGTTTTGTGTAACGCACTTGGACATTATTTTATTTTTCAAAATTATTATTTTTCGTGGCACTCCTTTTTACGTTGTATTATTTACGCAAAAATTAATTATTATTTTTAACATGCATATTAAATGCTAATTTGTTTGAGAACGAAGGCGGACGAGTTGATAAGGGGAAAAAAAGAATTATATATTTATTCGTATATATCTATTCTTTTTTTTGATATGGTAGAGTATTATGTTAAAGCAGGTTTGGAGAATTTATTTTTAAGTGCGCGAATTGCGAGGTTATCTTTGAAGAATGTTTATTAACGAAACTTTGGATATTTGCAGATGGTTAGATCCGAATGGATATTGTCGTACGGAAGCGACCGATATCCGGACTCGTTGGACGACGCGGACATCGTAGTCGTCGAAGCAGAAGGCGGAAGCGCGGAGTGTTCGTCAGTCGAGGGGGCGGTCGCCGGAGGCGGGATCTTCTACGATTCCATTGATTTCGATTCCATCGAGTCGAGCCTCTACCAAGCTAACGGTGAGGATCTCGCCGAATGCGATTCCCTCGAGCGCCGCATCGACACCTCCGATCTGTCCACCACCAACAACAGGAAATAACTCGAACCCAAACATTCCTCCAACGCTCACTACCGTCCAGATGTATCCAACAGTTGCTCTGTCGGCCACCGCCGACAAAAAGAACGCGCAGATTTGTCCCGATCTGCAAAGAATCCATTCGTTATCAAACATATCGCGTATCACTTAAATATATTACTATATTGTATTTTAATTTACTGTACGTATTGCATTGCGTTTTCCAATTGGATGCATTTATGACTCGAAACTGGTTCGAAAGCACCGATCCAGTATTCGCAGATGGGTTTACAGCAATGTACTTTTTATTTACTTAGGCCTGATCATAATTGTCGTCAACATTTTTATATTCATTTTTAATCTATACACAATTTGTTAATTAGTTATTATTATTATTATCATCGTTTATATTATTTCTCCTTATTTTGTACAATCGCTGTGTGTAGGACTGTGATAGGTTTATAGGCAGTGATCGGAGGCGTTTATTCGTATATTTATATATATACACATCCTCTCTATCCCTCTCTTAATTTATTATTACAATCATCATCATTCGATATTTAAGAAACTCCTTCTACAACACTATATACATATGTTATACATAGATATATAAAATATGTTCCTTGCTGAAGAAGACGTAAAGATGAAAAACCATACACACACACACGCAACATACACAAAGACTGTATTTTATATATATTATATATCGATTCGTGATTACTTTCTGTTTTAACCTCAGTCTTTTCTTATTATTTTTTAATTTTTTTTTATTTAATCTTTACCAACTTTATGTTTGTTTATATTTTTTCGTAACAAAATAATAATCAAAAGACTCTCCAAAACGTATTCTCATCTGTAACGCAGCTTCCAGATAATAACTGTTAAGTTGCATATTCCGTATGTGATACTTCTTCGTGTATAATGCTCATCACAAGATTAACCGCTCTTTATCATTACGATAGCATAATAATGTAGCGTTATTGTCGATTCTATTTTTAAAGATGAATTTAAGTGAAACAAAAAAAGATAATATTAAGAAATTCTTATATTGCAAAAACTTTGAATTGATTGACTGATTTATAAGTTTATATATGAAATAAAGTATCGTTTATTTAATCTGTTAATAATAATATTATATATTAATATATATATATATAGAGTAATTCATTGCAATCTATCATTTATAAATAATATATGTATATGAATAAGTACTACGTGTAAATAGAATATTATAATTATTATATTTTTTTCGATTTCTTCTTTTGTTTGTTTATAAATAAATATGAAAATCTCCTTAATTTGGGGAAACTTTCGAAATTCCTTATATCTAAATTATTTCAATACAGTTTTATCAACTTATTATTCTCATTATTTGTTAATAAATCACAAACAAATCTTCGTCATCGTAATATGAGTCAATTTTATTTGTTTTGATTAAATTGAACTTTAATAAATAAAATTATTTTATATTGAAAATTATTATAATTAATACGTTAATTACATGATTTGTTAATTTAAATTGTTAATTGTAATAAAATATTTTGTGTATCTTTGGTTGCCTTTTGAGATTAATAAAATGACGTCACTTTTGAACAGCGCCAAAACACCTGAACTTCTGTAGTTACATAATTTTCTATAGATGGATCCACTTATGGTAAACCTTTGAAAACGTTTTGCCCCTGAAAGGCATGCAACTTTATTTGCACTTCATTGTAAAGGATTGCATAGTTAATGAGACTTTATTAAAATTATTTTATTATTATGAATAAGGGAATATATGATGATGATATAGTAATAAATATCTTTTTGTTTCTTGTTTCCTTCTTTCTTTTGATTATAGTTTTTATATAATAATTACGAAACCAATATAAATTCTAAGAATATATAAATGTGTATATTTAAAAATTACAAACGTATAAATAAAATGTTAAAATCTTTGTTGAAAGTTTTGCTGCTGCTGTGTAGCATTGTTGTACATCATTTGTTGCTGATGGAATTCTTGCTGCTGTTGCGATATCGGTACGACCTTCAATTGATAAATAACGAGATGCATTAGTATTAATGTTACAGATATAAATTGCTATAAATCCATACCTGCGGGTTAACTTGTCCTGGATGACCGGGAGGAGCCAAGCGGACTCTTTTGGCAGGATTAGAATCCCCAGCAGCTTGCTGCTGCTGTTGTTGCTGCTGCTGCTGCTGGGGCTGTTGGGCTTGCTGCTGCTGTTGCTGCTGCTGCGCCTGCCTCTTGCTTTCCGCTTTGTCCTCCTGGTCATCATCAGTCAAAAACTCCCTTTTTGGGTACGGAATAGCGCAACCAGCAAAAACATCCTGTGTTGGTAACGGATCCTCACTGAAGTATGCGTCTTGCATAGCCTGCTCCGACGTTATCCTCTTGTTAGGATCCATCAACAACAACTTCTGCAACAAATGGAAAGCTTTGCTCTCTGGCTTTATCTTATGTCTGTCCATGTACTTGATCAAAGAACAATTAATGTAGCTGAAATCAATATTCATCAGTAAATAACTTTAAATATATACATAAATTAAGTAAGCTCACTTTGATTTCTTGAAGTCTTTCAACAGTGTTGGGTGCTCAGGCATTTTCCTAATATCTTCCCAGTCTTTTTCATGCGGAAATCCCATCACATTGAAAATCCTATCAAGCTGATCATGATGATAGGGATTGCTTGTCTTGATATCCTCCTGCCTACAGTGGAATATCGGTTCGGACGTTAACAACTCCGCGAAAATACATCCAATGGCCCAGATGTCGATGGCCTTTGTGTAATGTCTAGCTCCAAGAAGTAATTCTGGAGCCCTGTACCAGAAAGTTACAACTACGGGATCCATATCAGCTAACGGTTTTAACGGAGCATTGAACAATCGCGCGAAGCCCATATCCGCGATTTTCACTCTACCCCGTTCGGGTCCCTCACCCATAACTAGAATATTGGCAGGCTTCAGATCTCTGTGCAACACCCAGTTTGAATGCAAATAGTGAATACCATCCAGAATCTGATACAACAGAGACTTCACCATTGCCTTGGGCACCATCACAGGTTTCTTATTTGCCTTGGCTGCTCTGTGAAACTTGATAATATGCCAAAGATCATGTTCTGCAAAATCAAAGAGCAACCACACCTTTCTGTCATTGTGAGAGAGAAAAACCCTGATCAAGTTTATCACATTTGGATGCTTCAGCTCCCGTAGCAGCTAAAATCAATCAAAATCAAACAAATCATTATTAATTCAATGCATATATTGCAATTGTGACTTGCCGCAATTTCTCTGCATGCAGACATTGATAACCCAGTGCCTTCTATTTGCTTCAGAGCATAGTCCCTGGCGTCCTGCCCCACGTCTTTTCGTCTTCCCTTGTATACGTGTCCGTAGGTGCCTCTGCCCACTTTACAGCCCTCGTAGTCAAACAAGTCCTCCACCTTCACACGCTCATTCTGCGTTTTTATTTTGAACTCGTAATCCATCATCAAACCAGTCATATTATGAAAAATGATGAATGGATTTCAGGAACGGCTCTCACAAAAAAATCAAAACAAAAACACTTTGTGTACGTATTATTCACACTATAGACCAAATATATCACCACAACGCAGATCCCCGGGTCTCTCAGTTAAATGCTACCAACAAGTACAATAACAGTCTGTTAAGGGGTGAATAGTCTTAATCCCCGTGTACAATATCAAGGAAAAAAATGTTTTTAAATGTTTGCTGACGCTAAAATATAACCTATAAAGTACACTTCTTGACACTTCTTGCAAAGTCAATAAACAAACTTTTGTCTCTTTCTAACTAATGGCGCAAACGGAATGAAAGGTATTACGTTTTTACCTTGAAGTTGTCCACATAGCATTTTTAAGTATTTATTTAATTAGACAAAACCTTTAATTCAATTTCACTTCAATTAATATTAATAAAATCATGTTTTTACTATTTTGAGATTAATTAGAACTTCTTATAATCAACAATTAATTGAATTTGTTCATTTGGTTGCCTAAAATCATCCATCAAAATTTTCCAAACAAAACTTGACTTGACATCATAACCACAAAAAATATACTATGCACAAAAATGTTCTTCTTCAAAGGTGCAACAGCTATTACGCTGTTGTATTTAGTGAGTGCCAAAGTGGAAGATAATAAGACCTTCAATCCATTAGGTCCACTTGTGAAATGTTCTTACCTAACCTGGGAGTTTGTCAAGTGCGAGGAGCCCCTTGATCTGAAGGGTAACAGCACTGCCAAAGCTGATCTAGGCTATGGATGCGTTAAATTCGGTGGTATGCGTTACGAGAAAGTGGAACGAACGAAAGTCAGATGCACAGTATTGGATAACATAGATTGCTTTGGTAATCGAACCTTCTTCAAGGAGAATGTTCCATGTATCAAATACTCTGAACAGTATTTCACAACTACGCTGCTGTACAGCATTCTACTTGGCTTCCTTGGAATGGATAGGTTTTGTTTAGGTCAAACTGGGACAGCTGTTGGAAAATTGTTGACCATTGGTGGAGTTGGTATATGGTGGATTGTTGATATCATTCTACTTGTAACAAATAATCTGTTACCAGAGGATGGTAGCAATTGGAATCCTTATGTTTAAGTAATTTATAACCAATCAGATGTTTTAGTTTAAGAATCAAATACATATTAATTTTTATATAATCTATTGTTTATGATAAAAGAATAAATGAATCAATATAAATATACTTTTTTCTTTTTTATTAACTAAATTTAAATAGCCAACATGGATGTTAAACGTTGCACATTCTATAAAAGTTAATGTAACTCTTTAGGGCAGCGTTTTCCAAACTATCTGCTAGAGTATAGATACATTCCTGTACTCTTATCTATATTGCTGTAATACGCGTTAAAAGTTTAAAAATTGAAATTAGAACGTTCGAAAAAGCAGTGTTTTCACATTTCATTGATTTACTCGAAAACTATAATAGATAGAATGAATCCAATATATGCATATAAAAGCTGAATGTTTGGGGAATGTAACAAGTATTCACATATTACTGTGGTTTTATCCGTTTGGCTGTTATTCGCGTTCAAAGTTGCAAAAATGCTCGAAAGAGCGGTGTTTTCACATTTCATTGATTTTCTCGAAAACTATAATAGACAGAATGAATCCAAAAGATGCATATGAAAGCTGAATGTTTGGGGAATCCAGCAAGTATAGATACATTCCAGTGATCTTATCCATATTGCTGTAATACGCGTTCAAAGTTGAAAAATTGAAACTAGAACATTCGAAAAAGCAGTGTTTTCACATTTCATTGATTTACT